GTTTGAGAGAGATACAAGTGCTGTGTAACTCGGTAATGAAAAAAGGCAGAAAAACTCGTCACCCGCCGTACAATTACATAGAACCCCATTTCAAGCCACTTTGTACGTGCCCAGTGAGCTCCATCTCCTACACTACGCCCTCATCCACACAGCTTATTCACTATAAGAACTCTACGACCCTTACAAGTGAGCTTACGATTTTCATGCGCTTTCGTCTTGCAGCTTCGCTTTTCATTAGATGATGGCTTTGAAGGCCGAAGTCGTGGAGACCGAGCCACCGGTTAAGGAGTGACCCTTTGGAGCTATTACGTTATAGCACCCTCCCTAACAATTTTTTCGCCCCCAACCAGTACAAGATTGTTCCTTAGCGGACCACCCTCCGACACCATATTTCCAACTTTATTCTGATCGTGGACCAAGCCTTTGATGTTTCCCATAAAACGAAAACATATGCCTCGAATGAAGCTGTCACGCCAACACCATCAAAGTGAACGCTTTCACGACTGAAGTTAAAATAAAACCCCTGAAAGTGGCACATAGACCCTAATAAGGAGCAGGAAGGGGTCTTGGTGGTCGGACAGGTACGCAAAACTACTTCCCAAGTGTTTAGCATGCGTTTCAAAGAAAAAGCAAAACTACGAAATGCATCAAGGATTTGAACCTCCGTCTCACTAGTATGAAGCCATCCACTTACCTGCTGCGCCATCGAGCCATGGCGGCAGATGGTTCACGAGGGGTTCACGAGCGCAAAGCATGGGCAGACGGTCGCACCGCAATGGTTAAGCACGGTAGCAAAAGAGGTCCGTAACTCTGCACCCAGAATCGTTTAGCAGATTTGGAAGTCAGATCTGATATCAGTATCCGGAGACGCTCCTAGGAATATACATCTCATTCTGAATGGCCAGGACGAGTTGGTATCCTTCCCTTGTCAGTAGTTAGAGTTAAAACCACAAACACAAGACTCACTATAACCAGAGGTAAAACCACAAAACACAAGTGTCACTGCTTATTGCTGGGATGTCAGGGGGGTGCCGCTGAATACTGGCACAACAGTGACAGCCACAGCCTACTCTAATGATCCCCAGAACACGGATGGTCAATTTGAATTCATTTAGCAACACTCAATTTCTCTCTCGACAATGGACTGCGTGTGGCGAATATAACAACTACCCCAAAGTCCGGTAGATAAGTCCGCCATTAGATGAGTCCGCGCGACGTCGCGATCGGCGCGCGCGGGAACCCTAAATGGTATATAGTAGGCTGGCACTAATGCTATTGTCGGAAAAGTTGATTTGTAAAAATTATCCCCAGAAGATATTACCATAAAAAGAAACAGTAAGGTGGATGATCGAAAAAGTGATGAAAGATCAGACAACAGAACTTTAAAGCAAACCACAGTAAGAAAATTCTCTACTCTGCTAAAAGCTCTCTCATAAGAAGTAAGCTCCAAGGAGGACTCCAAAGCAGTGTGGGGTAAAGAAATTGTGGTCGATGACGACAGAGGAATTTGGAGTTTAACTGAAGATTCCTGTCGATTTTTCTTGTCTAGAGTCTCGCAAGAATGAACCTCAAAGAATGAACCGCAACCTAAACGCGCATCTCACCTTTTATTCTATATTTTCCTCAACTTCGTCTTGCTAAAGGTGGATCAATGATGATTAATATTGATTAGTTTGGGTCTATTTCCCATCTTATTATTCCCATCCCTCGAAATTCACAAAAATGGGCGAATTCATAAAGCTATCATGAACTTCCTTCCCAAAAGATTTTCTCTTGTTGCAGTCTGTTCTGAAATTCTATTACGCGATCCCTCATCCGTACTCTGATCATCCATCCTTTTGAGGTTCTTCTTTGTGGTCGCAACTTCTGGAAATGTGCTTTTCAGACTGAGGCCTGAAAATAACAACTGCTTCCAACTCACAGAATGCCGTTAGTATTCGCGCGCGCTTCGATCGCGATGTCGCGCGGACTTGTCCAATAGAGACGTATCGTACTTTAGAGTGAAGACTTTACAAGGCCATTAGGGTAAAAAAAAACTACAGATCTACGATGGCTGGGAGGTATACCCGTTCCCTTTCTACTGACCGGACATGAGGTTTCTGAATATGGCTGTTTAAGTCCGCAACCAAACGTGCTCTCGCTGTGAGGGTCCAATGGTATTTTCTCGAGGCATTTACCAGTCCAGTGGTTAAAAGGAGAAGGTAAAGGAGGAGTAATCAGAGAAGGGAGCAAGGAAAGTAATGAAGGAGGAAGAAAAAAGGAAAGAGAAGAGAAGCTTCCTGGTTGACAAGTGCTCTGAGACGTCATCATGCCACAGTATTTTCCCAGGATTCAGCCCCACGAAAAACACGGTGCCCCGTAAAAATGAGAAGAAAGCTGCAGGGAAATCTCGATCATAAATTAACTCTTTGTAATTTTTGTAAGAGCAGCTCTTACATATATTGGTTATAAATGACAGCCTACCTTATCGTTTCCACACTTTATCAAAAAGTCTAGTAGTACTAGGCTTTTATAAACATGTCGCCAGTTTTTCCCAGAATCGTTCAGCCTCTTCCAAATAATAGACATTACTTCGGTAAATGCCTGAAATACTGAATAAAGGCAAGCCCAAAATCAAGAGATGTGGTCTTGAGAACAGAAATCAGTCATAAACATGAATAAAAAGAAACCGCAATCTACCATTGGATTATTTGTGAGATCCGAAATTTCCGACATAAGGGCTGTTGATGGCCCCCACGGATCATTACTGAAATAACTTAAAGTTAAGTTTATTCCTGGCAAACTTTAAAGGGAAGCATTCCGTAAACCCCGACATAAAACATCCTCGACACTTCTACGAATAACGAAAGGAATTCGACCTACCATGTGGCTTCCCTCACTTTTACTTGGGCATCAGAAAAATTGTAAGCAACATTCTTCACCTGTCGCCTAATCGTTGAGATCGACATCACAACCTGGAAAGTTTATTCAACTACTGCTACGGGAGCAACGAAAAAGGCTAGTAAGCGACAAGTGACAAAGAGATTTGGCAGGCCGGGGAGTCGGGTCTTAGGACAACTAATCCGTTTTTCTCTGCGTCTTGCTCTTGGGGCCGGCACCGGGAGAGCAGGCTGAGGTCAGGCACGCAGAGTGACTCATCCACTTGAGAACGGTCAGCCTGCTCTCAACGTGAACAGGGTGATATTGAGAAAATTGGCGAAGGCTAAGCTATTCAATAGAAAACGAAGATAGCGTTAGATATCAGCACACTTCTACACCAAGGACACTGTAATACTTGACGAAAATGAAGTGAGGAAGTCATCACGGTTATTCGAAACACTCCACGAGGATAATTAAGTGAACACAATTGAGAAAAAAGAACTTAGAAATCATGTGAACTCAAAAAAAGTAATTTTTCTAGTTTTTTTCCGCTGAGCTTCTGGGCAGTCCGAAAAGGTGCTAAGAAAATGTTTCACGAGTCCACGATGAGCTCGTGTTGATAGAAAACACTTCTGTTTTTTGCACAAGAGGTTCGGGTGGACACGTTTTTGTTCGTGCAAAAGATAAAGACTTCCCGAATACGAAGAAATATCCAATGCCTCTGCATTAGCAAGTGAGATAATTCAAAATGGTATTTATACCAGAGAGTATCGGAGGTATAAGAAGAAATAAAATGTGAGGATGCATTTCTGTGACCTCGAATACTCTTAATCCTTTCTTTCACCTCCCCAAAAGTCACTAGTAATGACAAGAGAGATTCGGCAGGCCGAGGAGTCGTAGAAACCGTAACCGAAATTGTGATTGGGGCGCGGATTCGGATTGGAGCACGCATGACCTGGCCTGGAGTCCTTTGAGTAGCTGGTCTTCTAAGGTTGGTCTGTGTGGTACTCAGGGTGAACAAGTTTTTGTAGCTTGTGATGACTTGGCATATTTTAGAATAGATTCTCCTATATAGAGAGAGGACCTCTCGTAACGTGGTTCCTCATCACTTTAGCTTCTCTGCGAAAGACTTAGCATACAGAGTGAAGGGGACTTCTGTCATTTTGTCCCAAACGAGCTATTCTAAAATTGATGTTTATTAACCAAATGGAAGTAATGTTTTGTACATAATGCTAAGCCCATTGGTATCGTTCTAGAGATGAAGTAGTATGATTACACAAACATCACAAGTTTTACATTTACATGATTACATGACGTGATAACATGAGCACGACAAAGCAAGAAATTTACCAGTAGTCCGACTTTCAGAATGAATTGAACTCTCCAAAGTTGGCTCCCGAACCCTAGGGCTACTACGGAATTTATGTTTATCATCCAAAATGAAAGGAATACTTCGTCATTACGCTTCAATTTTTCTAGAGGTGACCACCTAGCATCGTAACATTAACAAGATAAATTCACACTGTATGACGTGATATGTGCACAATAAGAGCAACAAATTTACCAGTAGTCATTTTGGCTTTTTTGAATACACGTATATTTGTTTACCCCTGGAAGTCGACTCAACCTTACCACTTGAAACTTACAAACAGTACGAAAAACGAGATCAAAAGCAACAAGAAAGAAAGAGGAATTATTCCGGTAGTATAACAAACTCTGTAAATAACAATTATGATGGATAAAACGATAAAACACAGAGTAAAATTCAATCTCCCCCTTTTTACTTTGACACTGCAGACCATTTATCCACTTCTACTCACTAGAAAGTGAACTCTTATCAGGGCACATGGTTGTTGGAGATTCCTCAACCGGTAGGATTGTATTTGGTCGCTGGGAGAGGAGTCGCATTTGCGTTCTGATCGTGAGAGGTCGCTGATTTTTCGTGGTTGTTACTGTTTCATAGGTGCTACCCCTCCCCCCTCTTCGGCAGCTCTAATCTCGAATAGGGAGGGAACCAGGGGTTGTATCACCCCCTAGAAAAAAAGTGGAGGGGGTAGACTCGACTTAAATCGTTGACTAAAGATGACCCCTGATTCTTATGGTTTTAATAGAACGGTTTCTAAGAATGTTGTAAAAAAAACCGCATTTTGCGGGAAGAAATTGTGAGGACGACAAGCCCTCAGAAAAAAAACACTAGATAATAATGTATAAAAATCAACCTTTCAGCTTCCAAATTAAAGAATTTATGTAACTAGCAATTGAGAACAGTTTGAGTTGAACCTGGAATAATGGTCAGCACATATTAAGAGACAAAATGGGGTTCTCAATAACTCGGATCTCAAATGAGTGAAAGTCGTACAGCTGATTCTTCTAGAAAAGGATATATTATAGGTACCACAGGGAAAAAGTTATCACAAAAACAAGGCAAGGGATCAGGCCAGGCTCATGCGTGCTCCAATCAAACTCCGCGCCCCATCACAACTTGGGTTACGGCTGCTACGACTCCTCGAGCTATGCAAAGCAGACACTAGTACGCTAGTTGTCATTACACCACTTCCGCGCTACCGTATCCCACGCCTAGTAATAATCATTTTCTAGTGTCCCTATCGACAATCAGGTGCTAAAGTATGGCGGCGTTCATACATGATGCAGAAATGCAGAACCACGGAATGTGCAGAACTGCGAAATCTGCAGACCTGCGGAATTGGGAGAACCGCGGGACTTGCAGAAAAAGAAAATATGTCTATCGATTTCAAAAACCGTGGAATATGTATGCCGAAGTGCGGAATCTGCAGAATCTGCGGATTCTGCATTCCTCCCAATTCCGCACGACGGCAGGAACGAACCGATCGATCCCTATCATTTCTTTTTCCGTCATTTCTGCATTTCTGCGGATTCCGCGGAATTTACAGAAATGCACTTTTCAAATCGATACGTATGCATTTCCTTTCCGCAAATTCCGTCATTTCCACAACGTCTTCATGTATGAACGCGGCCTATTCGGGGGGGGGGGCACGCGGCTCGCGGCGAGTGATGACTCATCGACTCTTCTGCTTTCTCCTCGGCAAAATAGAAGTTACCTCATGTATAAGACATGGATATAACACCGTCCTGGCTACAATTTGAAAGCTTAAGCAGTTAATGCTGAAAAGTGCGAAGAAAGAGTTGTAGGATGGAAGATTTTGCCTAAACTACCAACCAATTGCCTTTTTGATGTTGACCGTTATTCTTGACTACAAAAGATCAAACATTTGTTGTTCGCAGCTCTGTGGGATTTCCCGGCAAGTATTCGCGTGAAATTGTTTGTTTATTCTAATTTTGCTGCTAGATGAGCGCTCTAAGTATGTCAGTGAGTGAAGAGCCGATGAGTCATCACTCGCCGCGAGCCGCCGTGCCCCCCCCCCCCCCGAAATGCGTTAGCACCGACAATCATTCTCTTATTAGTCGTTTTCCCTTGCTTGTTTTTTTTGTTTTTGCTATGTTCCTAGCGTCTCCCACTCTTGTTGTTGAGTTACTTCCATTTTTCGTCGAATGTAACTGTAAGACCATAGAAAAAAATAAAAAAAAGGTAAAACGACTAATAAGAGAATGATGTCGATGGGGACTCTAGAAAATGATTATTACTGGACGTGTACGGTAGCGCGGAAGTCGTGTAATGACAACTAGCGTTACTAGTGTTCCGCTTTGCATAGCTCTGATCTCCTCGGCCTGCCGAATCTCTCTGTCTAGTAATGCACTGTAATACCCTAGTTCCCACTAGTGGGTCACACTATCTTTGAAAAAGAAACCAGCGGTTATGGAAGTCGCCAAAAAACTCGGTGTAGAATTTAAATATCCGTCGAATATGGGCACGCTCAAAGTGTGTTCGAGGCAGACTCCGCCCCAATGCCTCGAACACAGCTTTGAGCGTGCCCTATATTCCCCGGATATAAAAAAAATTGACCAGGCCCACAGTGGGGCGGAGCTTGCCCTAAATTGCAGGGTATTCATTTTAAAACTTGGTAGCTCGGCGTTCCAGAACACTCCAGATACCGGAAAAGTGGATTAAGGTCAGCAGAGGGTCGTCTGGTTAGGACTGTCGGGCAAAACATTGTGGGCGGAGTCTGCTCCCAAGTGGGGCGAGCCAGACAAAAAGTCTTTAAAAACGGTTCTAGTGCACTCCGAAGACCGGAATAAAGTGAATTCAAGTGTCAGCAAGGGTCGCCGACTGAGAAATTGGGGTAGACATATTGTGGCGGGGCCAGCCAAGGTGGGCGGAGCCAGGCGAAAATTCTCTAAAACTGTCCAGAGCACTTCAAAGACCCGGAAAAAAACGTGGGTGAAGAGTGGGGGCAAAAACATTGTGGGCGGAGCCTGCTCCGAGGTGGCGAAGCCAGACAATAAGGTCTGTAAAACGGTTCCAGAGCACTCCGAAGACCGAATAAAGTGAATTCAGTCAGCAAGGCGTCCGCGGTGAGGATTGTGGGGCGCAAACATTGTGGGCGGAGTCAGACGACGAATCTGTAGAATAGCTCAAGAGTGCTTCAGACACCGGAAAAAAGTTGAGTACAGAACAAAAGGCGGATATCAGTTGAGTCTAGAAATATGTGAAAGAAAAACCGCGGCGAAGCCGCGCTCGCCCGGCCCAGCCGGGCCGTATCAGAAGGGCGCCGCGCGTTAGCCGGCGAGCCGACGAGTATTATGTATAGTATCTATAATCACCCCATATATTAGGTTGTCCGGAAAGGAATGCGCGTTCGAGCTTAAAAAATTTGTTATTATAAAAACGAAATTAAACAAGATAAATTCAAAAGACAATCTCCATTAGTATCAATGACTTGTTGTCAACATTCATGCAAAAAATGGGTTCCTCTTCTGAAGAACTCGACCGGCTGCGACTCAAAGAAGTTGGACACCCAGAGTTGGACCTTTTTTCGCGGTTTGTGAATTTTCTCTCGTCCAGGGAGTTCTGGTCATCGACCGGAACAGATGGTAATTCGATGGCGGCAGGTCTGATCTGTGTGGCTAATGAGGCAGGACTTTCCAGCCCCCAATTCCTCAATTTTTTTTTCTAGAGTGTTTTCGCCACATGTAGATGACGCGTTTTCGT